TTTTGAACAGCGCAAAGCTGTAGCTGCTTTAATGGGCCTTTTACGCTACTGTATTTCAACACTGCTCATTATGGTAGTACTTGGAGAGACAATTTTTTTCTGAGGTGGTACTTGATGGAAAAAAGTTTGAGAACCACTGGTTTAGAATATTTTATATTCATATAAATAGCATCTAAATAGTTATTTTAAATATTTTATAAACAGTTATTTTCCACCTGGTGTTAAATGTTAGTGACATCTTAATATAACTAATTTGTATTTACAATGAATCCCTTTTAAAATATATATATATTTTAGTACTGAACTAAAATACTTGAGCGAGAATGAACTTGAACAAGTACACTATTCATTCATTCATTCATTTTCTTGTCGGCTTAGTCGGGGTCGCCACAGTGGAAATATCTACCTATATATATATATATATATATATATATATATATATATATATATATATATATATACACACATTTTATTATCATTATTTTTTAACTTAGCATTAGCAAAGATACTGTACAATAAATTGATGCACGAGATATGTAATATGTAATACATGCACTCCCGGTCAAAAGTTTTTTTTAATGTTTGTTGTTTTTAAAGAAAGTTTTTCTGTTCATCAAGGCAGCGTTTATTAAATGTAAATAAATTGCTAAATTGTTAAATCTTTATAAAAATTGTAATTAACTGCTTTCTTATTGTATATATTTTCAAATTAAATTACTAATCTAGTAATTATTGCTTTTATTACTATTACCATTAATAATATTAATTATAATAATAATTAATATTAGAGTGATTTTTGAAGGATCAAATGACTCTAAAGACTGGAGTAATGAAGCTGAAAATTCATATTTAAAATCATTCATTCATTTATTCATTTTCTTTTCGGCTTAGTCCCTTTACAGAATGCACCACCAACTTATCCAGCATATGTTTTACGCAGTGGATGCCCTTCCAGCTGCAACCCATCTCTGGGAAACATCCATACACACTCATTCACACTCATATACTACAGACAATTTTAGTCTACCCAATTCACCTGTACCACATGTCTTTGGACTGCGGGGGAAACCGGAGCACCCGGAGGAAACCCACGCAAACACTGGGAGAGCATGCAAACTCCACACAGAAATGCCAACTAACCCAGCCGAGGCTCAAACCAGCCACCTTCTTGCTATGAGGCGACAGCACTACCTACTCCGCCACCCCGTGGCCTCTTTAAAATCACTGGATTAAATTATTAAATCAATTCACAAACTACTTTTGAACAGTTGTTTTATAGTGCAATAACATTTCACAATTTACAGTTTGTACTGTATTTTTATTAAATAAACGCAGCTCTGGTGAGCAAGAGAAGCTTATTTTAAAATGTAAAAAAAATTGTACTGACCCCAGAATTTTGACTGGTAGTGTGTGATAATAATTTAATAATTCATAATGCACAAGTACAATATTGATATTGTGGCCACCTTCAAATTAAAAAAACGTTAAATAAACATTTGTTTATTATTTAATATACAGTGGAAGTCCTCCTGAATTATTAGCCCAACTGTTTATGTTTTCCCCCAATTTCTGTTTAACACAGAGAAGATTTTTTCAGCACATTTCTAAACATAACAGTTTTAATAACTCATTTCTAATAACTGATTAATTTTATCTTAGCCATGATGACAGTAAATAATATTTTACTAGATATTTTTCAAGACAGTATTCAGCTTAAAGTGACATTTAAAGGCTTAAATAGGGTAATTGGTTAAGGATAGGATAATTAGGCAAGTTATTGTAAAACGATGGTTTGTTCTGTGGACAATCAGAAAAATAGAGCTAAAATAAATATAAAGGGGCTAATAATTTTGACCGTAAAATGAGTTAAAAAAAAAAAATTTGTTTATTTGGCAGGGACATTGTACATTAATTAGCATTTCTGCCAATGCACCAGAATTACCCAGAAGGCTATTTTTCATCTGTTGTCCCTTAACAACCCAGAAAAAACAATACAAAATGTACACTGAAAAAAATAATTCAGAGATGTTTCCTTGGATTTACTCAATTTGTTTACGTTAAGGGGTTGTAAAACAATTTATTTGTGTTGAATTTAAACAAACAAATTAAGTTGAACATTATTAAACTTAATTTGTTTGTTTAAATTCAACACAAATAAATTGTTTGCAACAGTTCTGCATACAACACTTTTTTCAGTGTATACAATCTATCAAACATATTTAAAAAGTACTAAAATAGACATGGTCATATAGATGTTAAAGGAGAATATTTAAAAATTAAGCTAAAACACCAACATTTTGTAATAGAGATAAAAATAGTTGAAACACATTTAAACAACAGATCATTAAGATGGTGGGCACAATTGGAAACATGCTAGTTTCAATTTAATCAGAATGATGACACGTCTGATTCTCTATAAACCAGTTTTTTAAATGTTTTTTGAATATATTAAATGAGGTTATCTCTTTGATGCTGCCAGGGACAGAATTCCACTCCTGTGCAGCTGTAACTGAAAAGGCACCCTGACCAAAGGTACTTTTCCAGAGTGGGACAATACAGTCTCCTCGGGCTGCCCCTCGTGTTGCTCTGTGTGTGGTGTTCCTAATGTTTACAAACTGACTGAGAGGTGGGGATGACAGACCATGAATGAATTCATACAACAGGCAAATGTTTGAGTACTTAATGAAATTTTCCCAGCTTAACAGTTTATGTTTTTGCAAAATGCTACAATGAGGATGTCTTAGAGGCTTTTTATCCAGTATTTTAATTGACTGTTTGTACAGTGACTCTATGGGTTTTAGTGTTATTTTGTTTGCTTGTGACCTGGTTGTTAGACAGTAGGTTATATGTGATGAAATCATTGAATGCATTAATATTTTAGCTGCCTGCAATGATAGATGTGACCTTATGAACCGGAAATATTAATTTATAAATAGTTAATTAATACTATAAATAGTTATATTGAATTTAACACGGTTACATACCTTTTTAATTTGTGATTTAAATGTTAATTTGGAGTCAATTTGGACCCCAAGATATTTAAAATCAGATACAATTTGTAATTTGTCCCCATCCGCGTAGATGTCTGTTAGATTATTTACTATGTTTGTTTTAGAAAAGTACATTGCAACAGTTTTGCTTACATTCAGTTTTAAACAAGACTGGTTTAACCATTCTGAGACATGAGCCATAGCTTGTGAAAGTTTTTCTACTTGGGTCGTGTAATTGAAACACTAATTGAAAATAGTGTTTATTCTTGCCAAAATAAAACAAATAAGACTTTCTCCAGAAAAGGGGGGTTAAACCTGTATACCATGATATAAGTTTCAGCACAAAATGAAACTTGATTGGTTTGTTAATCGCACAGTGAGCGATCCTTGACCAAAGCACCAAAGCTCCCAGCCATCAGTCTGAGCTCTGTCTATATGAGACTTGGTTCAGGGTGCTTTCACACTTGGTTGAATTGCCTAGACAGAACACATGTGCGATTGTCCACCCTTGCACTTTCTTAGCTAGTTTGTGTTTACACCATTTCCTTCTGAACCCTGGTACTCCTGTGGTGATGGCCACAAAAACGAAAGCCATGGCGTTTAAAAAGAAAGTCATCTGCACTTCACGATTATTCTGCTTTTACTGAATCTTTTGGTTTCTGCCAAAAAAAAAAAAATTCAGAACATAATGCTGCAGAAGTCGTTTTTGGATGAGACAAGCAGACATTGTCTTTGTGTTTGCACTGGGCCAGTCCCACCTGTCACAATGGTAATATTGGATGATACACAGACGAACACACACTAATGAACATAATGAAAATTAAAGTTTATTGTACAGTTGGTAGTTCATTTCTGTTATTTGGTACAGTTGCATTCATATCAGAAGTGAACTTTTTCAGATGGACTTGGCTATGGTTCATGGGTGCACGCCACTGATCTAAATAGAATTCTAAAGTTATTAAAGTTCAAAAGACTAGCTAAACGTTCTGAACTCTGACGTCAAACAAACCCAGGTGCAGGCCAAAAGTGCTAGTGTGAAAGCTAGCCTTTGTGATAGTGTCGGTTTGTTTCATCGTATCTGTCTTTGTTCTGTGTTTATCCCGACATCTGATCCTGGTTTTCTTCCTCTGAAGCAAAATTTCTGAAGAGTGGGTGGGGAGAACCAGCTCATTTGCATTTAAAGGGACAACTGCAAAAAACGGCTACAATTCTCACTGACCCAAAACTGGACATTTTCAACAAGGTAAATAACAATCTGATGAGTATTTACACCTAAAAATTAGATTATCTCTTTATTTAGACAGTGTTCCCATCTTGTTTTGTCTATAAGAAGTTTAAATCACCTCAAACTTGTTTCTTGAACACAACAGCGAGTTGATAAAATAAGAATTAAATTAAAATGTCCTTTACAGTCACCAGACCTCCATCCAGAGCATCTTTGGAATAAGCTGGAATAGGAGATTCACATCATTGATGTACAACCAGCAAGTCTGCATGTAAATGTTTGATGCTGTCAGTTCAATGTGGACTAAAATCTCCAAGGAATATATTTCAGCATCTTGAATCTATGCCATGAAGAATTAAGGCTAATTCAACTAATCTAAGTAATTCAACTAATCTCTGCAGCACGGTGCAAGCTACTGTATCTTTGGCTCTGCAGAACTAAAGTTTTTTTTCCCCTTCACACAAGATAATGTAAATCAGCAGCTTTTCTTATTCTTATCTTTTATATTACAGTGTGTAAACAGTGATGTTATTTCGTTTACAGAGTTTATGTAAGACCAACTCATGACCCAATATTTGCACATACATTTTGGCTTAATAATTTTGGCTTAAGTAATGTACAGCAGAATTTTTCCTCAGAAAGCCAACCTTTAAAGTTGCTAATGACTTGAAATTTTTATCAGATGTCACTACAGTAGCAACCAAACTAATCTATGCGTACAAAGAAAACAAAACTTGCTTTAGAAATTGAGTTATGTGTAACAAAATTAAATGACGCAGGGAAAATGATTGAACACAAAAGTATTGAAAGGTAGATGTAAAAAGTCATGAAATACCAGACAGCAGCTGAAACCTCTCAGTACAGTAGTTGGAAAGCAACCCTTGTCAGACGTCAATGTAAATGAATATGCTTCAGTCCCAACACCTACATTACCAGGTGATGAAGATGAAAACAGAGTGGACATTTTAGCAAGACAATGATCTCAAACACAGACAAGGAAACTTTCAGCCGGTTTCAGAAAAAGAAAATAAAGCTGCTAGAATCACCTGACATGAATTTATTAGAAAATAATAACCGAACATTAAAGTTAATAGACAACATACACATGATCAAGATTTTTAGGCTCTCTTGAAGTCTAAGGGAAAAATCACACCATTCTCCATGAAAGAGGTGTCTTGAATGTGTCATTACAATGAAGCACTTTATTAAATACAGTTCAGTAGCTCAGTATATTATCAAGGTTTTATTCTATTGCAATTATACAAAACAAAATTTTCTGAATTTTTGTTTGATTGTATTAGTATGTTTTTTATTTAATGTATTATTATTATTATTTCATTTTATTTATTTATTTATTTATTTATTTATTTATTATTATTATTATTATTATTTTTTTTTATTTTTATTTTTTACAAAATCTGGGTCAATTTCATGCACAACAAGCCCTTAAGAAATATATTTTTCAAAAAAAAAAAAGCCATGACATATTCAATACTTATTTTAATAAATGCTTTACTCATTAAATACTCAGTACTTATTGAGCTGGCAGCTTGCTCTCTGCAACTGCAAGACTGCATGGGAATGCAGGTTGGTGCTGGAAGTGGTGTTAGTGAGACAGCAGGGGGCGCTAAACCTGCAGTCTGTGTGGGTCCCCAGTATATTGATGGGGACTCTATTGACCTTATTCCTTACGTATGAGCAGGCGTGGCCATTGGACTTTTTTGGCTTTAGACTTCCAGTCTCATTCACTTCCATTGATTTTTAGATGTTAAAAAAGCTTGTTATGCTGGTTGATTCTCCGAACTAATATTTTCTAATGATATTATTCTACTTTTTATGTAAAGTTTTGAACTTACTTGTTTGTAGAGCAAGTATATATGGCGTTTATTAACCCCAGTCATTTCTTCCACAGCCAACTGAATCAAACCCAAGCTCATTCTGAAAACGTAGTCCCGTGGACGTTTCTGTAGACCGCGAAATACGTCCTGGGAGGTACAAATGGCTGCATATAATTTTTTTAAGCGAACGATATGGGGCGGTGTGACGCCGTTCCCTTTCGCGCTTGCCGGCTGACTGCTTACCTCCATGTGGAGGGCTTTCCTGCCGCAATCAGTTTGTCCGGTCAGCTCATCATGTGCGTCGGCGGACTTCAGATGCAGAGAGAAAGAGTTGATAAAGGCGTCCGGGTTCGAGTCCGGGGAAGAGCAGTTCCAGAAATGAGGTAAGACAAAAACAGAATCCAAAAAAATAAAGCGAACGAGTTCATAACAGGGTGAGAACGTGGTGAAATCCGAAAATGTGGTAAAAAAAACAAAATACAGACGAGGGCTTTTCTTTTTCTTGACGGCTTTTCTAAATTGTTGATCTGGTTTAGGGAAGTGAGCGGGCGGGTGGGTCAATTGGTAAAACTGGTTGGGTTCAGGGAAGGAGGAGGGTGGGTCAGCCGATTGGCCGGTCACGCAGTCAATCATTCGGTCAGTCAGACATCGGCCTCTGGTGGGTTGACGCGAGAGCAGCTCGTGCGCAAACGGCACTCACGAGAGACGTTCGAGATATAAAAAAGCGCACACAGCGGCCTCTCGCGGATTCACGAAAACAAAAACTGCACACATACGTACCTCCCAGGACGTATTTCGCGTTCTCTAGAAACGTCCTCTGGACTACGTTTTCAGAATGAGACTGGGTTGACTGAATCGAAAGTTCTAAAACAATTACAAAAACGATGCACTTTCGCATTGCAGAATAAGGTCAATACTGCTCAGTGAGCGTCATCTTTCAGATGAGATGTTAAAACCGAGGTCCTGACTCTGGTTGTTAAAAATCCCAGGATGTCCTTCGATAAAGACTAGGGATTTAATTCCAGTATTCTGGCCAAAATTTACCCACTGCCCTCTGTCCATCATGGCTTCCAAACCATCCCCATATCATAATTAGCTTCATCACTCTGCCTCCTCTACACTAATTAGCTGGTGTGCTGTCTGCTGCAATATGGCTGCCGTTGCGTCATCCAGGTGGATGCTGCACACTGGTGGTGCATGAGGAGATTCTCCTCCATGTGATTTCAGTGTCTAGAAAAGCGCTATATAAATGTAAGGAATTATTATAAATATTATTATTATTTTACCCATTCAGCACAATAATGTACAATGCAAGAAATAGAAATAATGCAGAATCTAACATAGTTCTTTCTGATTTTATTCAAATTTATATTAATATTATTTTATGAATATTTCACAATGGTAATTTTGTAACAGGCAATACATATAAAAAATGGTGAAACGTTATAAAAAATAATAACACAAAGATGAAGGTCTTGAGTTAAAGGACTTCGGCTATAACTTATGCAATATATATATGCATGTGTGTGTGTACAGTATACGCTGTCCATGTGTGAGACAAGACAAACTGTTTTATTGTATGCTATAAGTCTCATTTCCTGTATTTTGCTCTGATTTTCCACCTTCAGTCCTCTGCATTTCTTACTGCATATCTGATAAGACATGGACCTCTTGCACATAAAGGCTAAAGGTTGCTTCAATTTGCTACCCATCATGATGTACACAGGCGCACACACATAAACATACTGTACACATTCATCCAATCGCTTAGTCATTTAACATTTGATTAGTTTTTTATACCCAGTGATTAAATTTAGATTTCTTTTGTTGAACCCCATTGTGGTGTTGATAGTATCTAAACACAACTGACTAGATGCTAACAATCTATTTTATTGAATGATCAGCACTGATTGTGCAAGACCTGTTGAGTTGATTGAGGTTAAGCATTACTGTTTAACCCGACTGGCACATTAATGACCAAAGGTTATGTCTGATGTGCCAACCATGTCTGCTGGAGATTCATGGCAAGCTAGCAGAGACCAATGTGCTGGTAAAATGCTACTTTGTGATCTGAAATTTGGTGAGTTTGACACATTTTCTTGCTTTTAACACCTGAAATGAAAAATCTGGCTTATTTTGGGGGGATTTATAACTAACCCTGGTTGAGGTTAGAAATTTGCAGTCGAAGGCCTTATGCATCTTGCATCCCGAAGCTTAGCATTTTCTGTCCATTATGCTGCATTAATAAATCTACTAACTTAGAACTCAAGCGCTCTAGCATGTACTCCTCAAAAGTGCAGCAATCTGTTATTTACACAGGCATTCCAGATAAGATTACCGCTGCGTTTAAGAAGTACGAAAGGCTAACCCGCCCCTTACAGCCCCCTTCAGAGCTGCTGTACTCTATACAGGGAATTATAAAGAGCTTGCTTGTGACCTGCCTCTTTTGGGCTCACTCGGTGACCGAAGGCAGCAGGTTACTAAATCAGTGTCCCAGCACAATTTGTTCCGATCGCTTCTGCCTGCATGGATTGATTCCATCAACATTTTGGGCAAAACCACTGCTTGGGAGAAGCGTTGAAATTCCTATATTGATCTTCTTGTTCTTTTAGTCTCGCCGTCTCCTCATCTTCCTCTCTTATTTTTTTGTTTTGCGCTCATCGGCTGAATGGATAAAGCGGGGATGCCTGAGGCTGGCGGCCCCTTGGCAAACACTGAACAAATCACCGAGGCAACAGCACCCAGTTCTAAGCTTTTAGGCTGCAGCTGTGTGCGTCGCTGGGTTCCCCTGGCCTACAGAGAGGAACTCTACCACGTTCTGTGCCTCACCGGGCCTCTGGTGAGTCCTGTTTCTGCTCCAGCACTCTCTCATGGACCAGTGCCAACACTTAAAGACTGAGGCTTTGCCAACATGCACTACTTCAGGGATGATGTTTAGTTTACAGTTAAGGACTGGTTATGGGTGGTGAACGATGGCTCCTGTTTAATATTCATGCACATATCTTTTAACGGGTTTTTATGATCAACAATTATTGAAATACTTATACATTTGGAATTCTTATTGGTTGGTAAAACTATAAAAAAGCTATGTATTAATAGACTTTGTTACCTGTAATTAATTCATGTTAATTAGTACTTGAATGTTACAATGTAACAAAGTGATTATTAATAAGAGTACGAAGACACTAAACATACAAACAAACAAGAAAACAAACAAATAAATAATTAAATAAAAAAATTAAAAAATAAATAAATGAATAAATGAATGAATAAATAAATAAATAAATAAATAAATAATTAGCTTTTTGATAGTTGTATCATTGCTCCAACAGCCACACTGTAATAAAATCCTGTTTACCTTAAATTTTTAAGCCGAATCAAATCAACCCAAATCAACCATTGAACATTGAACATTGAACTGAGTCCATTGAACTTATATTATGTTAAACTGACTTAAAACAGTTTGCATAACTTATAGAATTAAGTTAGAACATGATTAACTTTGATTAAAGTTACCTATAAGGTACAATTATGGACCCTTCAGGTACAAATATGTAACTTTTGAAAAGGTACTGCCCCAGCGACAGCTCCCATACCTTTATTTTATTTCTGAAAGTGTACATGCACTACTGACTGCATTTGTTTATTGAATCCGTAAATTCCCATCTAATTTTTGATTTGTTTTATGTTCCACAGCTCATCTCCAGGATCCTAAGCTTTCTGCTGCCATTCGTTACTACAATATTCTGCGGTCACTTAGGAAATGCTGAACTGGCTGGATATGCCCTGGCCTCTGCGGTAATGCATCCATCATCATATAAAGAAGTTAAATTGCACCAATGGTGAAAAATCTACTTTTCAAGCTGTTTGGACAGACATATATGTTGGTATAGTGTATAGACCGTCAAATTGGGGTGAAATAAACACACCCAGTCCTTTTTTCAATTTAACAACATAAAAACGGTGGACCAATTGGAGCGGTTTTCAGACCGACTGCAACTTGACGTAGGAGTGCGGTCCCCCCGCCCACTGAATTGATTGACAGCTTCGCGTAGAATGTCTCGGTATTCACGTGTATAATCATGTCAACAAGACCAGACGTGCGCAAAGCAACTGGTTATAAAAGCTCTGTTCAGTTCGCTAGGATCAATCGTCATCAAATGTGATCAAGAGTGAGTTTTACAAGTTTAAAATGTTTTAAAACTGTGCACGTGTGTAATGAACTACAGCGATTTAATTCAGCTGTACTTCATCAGCACAGCCACGTGTCGTGTGTCAGAACAATACGCTTCAATCCAACTTTGTGGATGTTAAATCAGGTTTATTTTGTACATTAACATAACAGATATCCATACAGCAGTGGAGATTAGCTTGTATCCTGTCACATATGCGTGCAAAAACAGTGGGAAGCTAAACGCACTCTGTCTGTTTGACATTGTGTGTGTGAGTCATCGATGCATCTCCACAACAAATTCTCATTGGTAAAGTTCTTACTGTAGTATTTCTCATGAATGCTACATGAGATCTTCTTCCTAAGTCTGTCTGTCTGTTGTCTGACGCAGCAGAGGGAGGAAATTAAGGCACGCAGAAAGACACGTAGAAACGGTGGGCGGGGCGGACTATCCTTAAAGGCGCAGTATGACTAAATGGCCCCCTGGTGGAAAAATGTTAAAAAAGGTTCTTATAAAAGGTATAATGAAAAATCTGAAGGGTGTTTTGAGCTGAAACTTTACATACACATTCTGGAGACGCAAAACACTTATTTTAAATCTGAAAAAAGGGGTAACCTAAGTGCCCTTTAAATAAAATGTGCAAACATGTTCATTTTAGAGATTCAACAATTTGCAACTGCAATTCCTTCAAAAGTACATTTATATGTTATACTAGCTCCTAAGGTTTGCAAATTAGTACATTAAGGACACTTAAAGATACAAATATAGACCTTTTAAAAGTTAATCATGTGCATAGGTATGTCTGGCATATGTCTGAGACATTGTGGTTAATTATTGTATCTCTGCATAAATGCCTAAATGCATGATTCTGTTTAAAAATATTATGCAATCCTTCAGTAAATGACCCTTATTGATTTCGCAAAAATGCCACAGTATCTTGTCATTTGATTTTCCAGACACCAAGAGTATTTTCTATTTCGAGAAGTACTCTGGAAGTCAATCCAATCGAAAATCCAATCTTGAAGAGGGAAGCAGTGAGAGATTAGAGACAGTGTGCTATGACTGCCCTGCTAAAGCATCATTTGTCTTCCTCAGACTGTTAATGTGACCACGACAGCCACGGGATGCGGCCTGGCCCTCGCATGTGACACACTCGTCTCTCAGGTATTTCCTCATAATGGCTTTAACATGGTTAAAGTAATGTTGTTCTGCCAACAGACTAGCTCAATATCTATTGTTTTGTTTCTATAACGTCCCCCCAATTTTTGTTGAAAATAGAGCGTAATAATCAGGTTATCTTCCATCCATTCCATGTCTGTTTTCAAACAAAAAGAGGACAACTAAAAAAATTTACACTTTTCGTTTTTTGTCTGCTCACAAAAACGAAAACAGTTTCGTGGCTCGATTTTCGTTTTAATGTAGGAAAATGGATAAACGACTTTAAAATTCATTAGGTGGTGCTGAAACACCCTTTTGAGCTGGTGGCATCGCCCTCAAAATAAAAGTCCTATATATATATATATATATATATATATATATATATATATATATATATATAGGGCCCAATGTGTCTTTTATTTTGGTCCAAAAAAAAAACCACACACAAACACCAAATAAACAATATTAATTATCATTACTATTATTATGTAGGTTTACAGTAGCTCTTAAACAATCATGCAAAACAGGTGCTGCTCGGAAATGTCAGAAAAATATTTTCCTGGGTGCTGATCCAAAGAGGACTTTTATTTTCAGAGTGGCGTTACAAGCTCAGATTTGGTTGGCCAATCAGAGGAAAAAGGGTGTTTCAGCACCGCCTACATGGGTATAATGAATTTTAAAGTCATTTATCTGTTTTCCTATCCTAAATTAAAAAAAACTAAAACTAAATTCAAGCCAAAATCTAGTTTTTTTTTTGTAAGCAAAAAAAAAAATATATATATATATAATAATAAAAAAAATTATTTTCTTAGTTTTCCTTTTTTGTTGTTTGAAAACAAGTATAGAATTAATGCAAGATACCTTGATTCGTAATAGCTGTAGCTGTAGTGGGCAGATTTTATAATGGGAAATTGAGAAATTGAAGGAAGAATTTGGGCTATTTTATTTCAGCAATGATCATTATTACCCTCTTTTATAAAACCATTCTCATAAACTTAAAAAAAGAAATCTCATCAATATATCACAACTAAACTCTTACATCAAATACTGTGGAAATACTAAGGATCTGTTAGTATCTGACGGTAAAATACATCCCATTGTTTTACAAAAAAAAAATTATCATGAACCTTTACTCTGGCCTTTATAGGTTGATTCGTGATGTGAAACTCTTGTTCCACTGCACTGCTTCTGGGGTGCATGTTTAGTTTACAGTTAGGGACTGGTGAAGTGTGGTGAACGATGGCTCCTGTTTAATATTCATGATCAATCTTTTAATGTGTTTATATGATCGACAATTATTGTAATACTTCTAAATTTTAAATTCATGTTGGTTGGTTCAACAAAAAAAAAGCTATGTATTCATCGTCCTGTAATTCATTCATATTACTTAGTACCTAAATGTTATCCCAACAACACTAAACACTTTTGTCTTCAGAACTATTCTAACTCTAGGTAGTATAGATTGAGCAGTCTGCTTGAAACAATCCCAGGAGATTTTGGTCCATACTGATATGTCAATTTCACACAAGCTGCTGCACATTCGTGATGTGAAACTAGTCCAGCACATCCGAAAGGTGTTTTTCTTGCTGGATGTAGCATCACAAGATTGGTGTGATCATAAAAAGATTGATGGTCAGCAACATCAGTCGTGAAGATAGTGGCATTTAAAGGGATAGTGCAACCATTTTTTTCTCACACTCAAAATTATTCTAAACTTTTATGAATTTCTTTATTCTGTTGAACACAAAAATAGAAATTCTGGAAAAAAACTGCATTTGTAATATGAAGAAAAATACTATGGAAGTCAGTGGTTGTTTTATATTGTTAATATGTTTTAATAATCTTCAGTATGTCTTTCTTTGTGTTCAACAGATGAAAAGATAACACTTTATTTTGATGCTCCTTCAACAGACTATAAGAAACTTAGCAAGTACAAGTCAACTTACACTAACCCTAACCCCAACCCTATCCGCAGCCCTAACCCTAACTTAACAGTCTACTTATAATCTAATGAGAATTAGTTGGCATGTCGATGCAATGCAACTTATATTCAACAAACAGACCACCAAAATAAAGTGTGAACAAAGAAAGAAACCCAAGTTTGGAATTAGTGGATGATAAAATGACATTATTTTCATTTTTGGGTGAACTGTCTCTATAAATGATGCTCAAAATGTGCCTAAAGTGCGCCATAAAATAAAACCCTTCATCACCACTATCAGCAGCAGCCTTAACCAGTCATACAAGACCAGACGAATTGCTGCTTTCATCGTATTCACGCCAAATTATAAGAATAAGGTAGTTGAACTTGAGACTCATCAGAACTGGCAACCTTTTTCCAGTCTACATACTGTCCAGTTGTGGTGAGCCTTTGAAAATGATCAGCGATGAATATTAGTCTGGCCATTCTCTTGCTGTTTCTGATTCTGATGAAAAGTTCAAACTTCACCAGATAATCTTGACTCATTCTGAAATATACTAAACTGCTGCCATGCAAAAAAACAAAACAAAAAAACAACAACATTTCATTAATAATTGATCTCCCTCATGTCATTTCAATCGCCTTCCTTCATCTTTGAAACACAAAAGAGGATATTTTTAAATAAATCCAAGAGAACTAAGATCCGCCAAAATAGTCCCGATATGTTTAAAGTCCACAAAGGAACCAGAATACAGGTTAAAAATTCCATGTGACTTCAGTGGTTCAACTGTAATTGTGCAAAGATTTTTGTGTGCCCAAATACTTGAAAAACAACTTTTTTTTCACTAATTTTTGCACATTTACCATGGGCAATATGACTTATTTACCCTTACAGTTGAACAATTGTAGCCACATTCTATGTTTTGACAAAGTTTTTGGATCCTTTTATAAACTTTGAATGTCTCTGGACCGTTACTGTCTATCCGCTTGTTAAGTGTGATGTCACGTAAAGTAGCTTCCGGGTCCAAGCGCTCTATCACACTGTATGGGGAGCCTCAGGAAATGGTTATAATAAACGTTTACAAAGCACTGTAATACTTTCGAAAATCATGATCAAAATATATATGTCCATGGCTAATATCAGAGGCCAGAAAGTGATTCATTTTTTTATACATTGTTAAAATTTTGGGATTTGTGATGCAGCAAGCCCAAAGACTATTGTGTACACTATGACTTTATATAAAATTAACTTTAATGTATGATATGAATAAAAAGTGATCATATACTATTATTTTCTCAATTATAATTATAAAAAGTGGTGGCTTGGACCCGGAAACAGTATTACAAACATCACCAACACGTCATCACTTAACAAGCGGATGGAGGATGAGAGAGTCCTCAGATTTCTACTAAAACACCTTAATTTGTTCTGAATATAAACAAAATTCTTAGGTGATTGAAACGATACAAGGGTGAATAATAACAGAATTTTCCATTTTAAATGAACTAACCCTTTAAAAAGATATTTCTAATTAAGTGGCTCGTGAGTATATGTCCAAAACACAACTGTGGTAGTGCCATACAACTTTTATTGGATATATTATTCAAAGTATTTAAATTTAGAAACATTTAATGAGATATTGTTTGTTTTTTTGCAAATTGTTGTTAAAATGTTACAATTAAATTATGGTTTATAAAATCTGTATACTGTTGAATTATTGACATTATATTATATGCTAATGATACCTTAAATATTTATCTTTTATGATCTGTTGCCCATGTTCAGACGTTTGGCAGTAAGAACCACAAACGTGTGGGGGAGATTCTGCAGAGAAGCATGCTCATCCTCTTACTCTTCTGCTTGCCATGTTGGGCCATTCTTATCAATGCTGAGTCGATACTGCTCACCCTGAAGCAAGAGCCGGAAGTGGCCAGGTCAGGCTGATACTTGTCATACTATTCAATCAAAACTTTGGTGAGGTAATTGCTACAGTCCAAAAATGTAATGTAAATGAGACCTACTTTTGGAAACGATCAGTTTTCATTCATTAGAAAAAAAAACACTTCTTCTTTGAGGCCTTGAAACCTCTGAGATATGTGAAGAAAATGTAAACGTTTTATTATCTCTGAGCAATAAACCTGGTAAAATGAGATTATATTAATTATGTTAAAAATAATAATAAAATAATAGTAAAAGTTAAGATCATTTCAAAATTAAGAAACTGAAATAAGAAAAGTTTTATGGTTCAGTATGTAACGGAGGCCAGCTAGTGAGTGCTGTGCAGGTAAACCTCACTCCTCTGACCTCTAAAGGTGCTCTAGCAACTGAAGCTAGAGGCCATGGTCTTTAGCCTCCTTGTTAGAGCAACCGACTCTCATGCGGAAAGTCACTTGTTTGATCCCAGCTCTGAGCGGGTTGGGTGGTGTATGACCAGCGGGATTACAAGTGCATTGTTACTATGACCAAATTTTGACAAGTTCATGTTCAAATTTCTTTCATATTTTTCATCATGTATATTTTAAATATTCCAAAGGTGCACATTATTGTTTATGTTAAATCAGGGATGCCACTGGAATTAAATGATTTACACTTCTGAAAAGTGTAAAATAACACCTAGATGTGTTGATGATTCTAAGTGAATCATTCTAAATAATCTAAATAATCAATAAATGATCCGAATGATTTACTTTAAAACATGTTTGAATGATATTTTAGCATGTATTAAGGATGTACACATTTGTGTTGCACTAATCATAGATGTCAAATCAATACACTCTTATTTTGACATTCTCTTTTTCCTTCATACCTTTGTTCCATGTTTTATGCTCAAGGGAAACGAAGTCTTTCCCATTCATTTCATTAATTACTGATCATCTCAATATTTTTGTTCTTCTTCTCCTTTTTTATGTTGTTTCCTTCTACTCTGTGCTTCTCTACTGGGTCTTTATGGATGCTAAGCTCTTGTGGTTTCTCTTCACCTAACTGTTTCCCTTGTGGCATTTGTTTAATTAAAATGGCTCGTTGAAGATCCTCATCACAGCTCACTCTATCTTTCCTCCATGAGCGTGACAGAAAAACAGACCGGAAAGATTATGGATGTGCCAGCAGCTCAAATCTTCCTCTTTGAAAAGGGGAACCTCACTTTCAAAGGCCAATAATGCATGCTGAATCCCTGTGCATCTTCCCCTTCTCGGGATTTCTGCATGTGTGTACCACTGCTCCTGCCAATTCTCAGAGGGTGCGGCAGATCAAACGTCTCTGGCTATAAACCAGGACTTCCCTAGGCCATGTGCATCCTGGAGGCAAACCCTGCCTCTGTGTCTTCCATGTCGCTAGATCTTCTCTCTCCTCCATATCTGCCCCAATCCAGAACCTGCTGCAACATTTGCCCTGTGGCAGGTGCTTATTGACCTGTCTGGCCAGGAATTGATTCCCACCCCAAGCCCTTTGAAAACTTTCTGCATCCTCCACCGCTACCACCTTCTTTTCTAAGCCGCTTTCCACTATCAGACCAAACAGTTCTCTTTGCTTCATCATTTCTTGTCAGTCAGCATAAATACAGTTTCATTTTTCCACTGTAGTGCTGATAATAGATTTTTTTTGGATGTAATACAAATGCGGCAGTCGTTGCTTTGGTACTGCAAGTATAATGTAGACAGCAATCATTATTAGACACTTCTGTTCTTACATAAAAAAAAAAAATCTGATATTTCAGTGCTTGTGCATGAGTTTGCTTTTATTTATGCTCATTACAGAGAAAACTTCCTCAAAAAGATATGTGGTTCCAAAAATAGTGGATAATTTGTATGAGTTCGTACAATCTCATTCGTACAATTTAGTATGATTAATGATGGTTAAGTTTAGGGGTGTGGTTGGGTGCCATGCCTCCTTTAAAAAAAATACACTTTCTTACGGATAAACTCGAAATAGCCACTAAACTGACAAAATGTTAAATAGTTACGTTTCCTTGTGAAAACACCTCCGTGTGGTTTGGCACGGAATAGATGTGGTCTTCCTCTCTGAGAAGGCTGTCAAACTGACACTGATTCAGGCTTTTGGATGGGATGAAATTAATAGTTTGCTATTGCGCCATCAAGTGGACACAATTAGAACAGCAGTTTCTTTTATTGAAAAACTGCAGCTCATTTTTATACTTTACAGAATCATTTCACCTGCTGCATGCAGCCCACGGGCTGTACATTTGACACCCCTGGTTTAGAGCATCACGTCATTAGCTGCTAAATTCATTTTCTACTTCCCATGAGAATTCAGACTAAGCCAGAAGCATGCAGTGTTCATCATTAACCACAAATTTTTAATCACAATACTTTGATCTTATTTTTCGGCAATTCAGGAGTTCACACTCAGCTGATGATTGATAATAAAGCTTGTTTGGCATGCTGTCTCGGGAGAGAGCCCTGAGCTTATAAGATCCTCAAGCCCTGGGCTCCCTCCCGTTACAAGGCGAGAGGGGAGTTTAAACTCAGGTAGCCAAACTCCTGCTTATTGTAGCTAAGTGTCGTATATGGATGCTGAGAAGGTGTACTCAGAGTTTGTGGCTAAAATGTTTTGGATTAATTGTTTAGGGTGCTTGTTTCTGAACTGTGGGAGGAAACCGGAGGACCCGGGGAAAACCCACGTGATCACGGGGAGAATGAGCAAAACTCTGCACAGAAATGTTGCCTGGTTTGGAAGGGAATTAAACCTGGGGCATTCTTACTGCGAGGCAACAGCACTAATCAGTGGCCACCGTGTCGCCCATTTTAAAGGAGGGAAAGTAGGTTGGGGTGGGTGGTATAGGTTCTTTAAGACGAATATAGTGAGATGAGAAAAGGATCATCTGATAGGATAATTGGTCATTAGCTAAAGTTGGAACAGCTGTGAACAATCATAAGCACGTGATCCTCTCGAAATTTGTTTATAAATAAACTTCACTTAAATAGACATAAGTACTATCAAAATACAACGTTAATGGTTTGTAAAAACTACACGCTGATGTCTTCGAAGATGGCTATAATAATTGTCACACATAATCTGACAATGTGAGCTTTTGACATCAGGTATACTGTTTAGGTAACTAAAACATTTCCTCTATTCTTCTTTCTGTTAAACAGCCACTTTTATGTAATTCGGGAGAAGTTGATAAATTGACATGTTGTAAATCCAGCAACCCCTCCACTAACATGACGGCACCAATCACCCCACATCGAATAATATGATTATTACTATGCTGTTTAAAAGACAAAGTACATGTGCTCACCAGTGGTGGATAGAGTACTGAAAAATCATACTCAAGTAAAAGTACCATTACTTGTCTAAAAATGTAGTGCAAGTAGAGTAAAAGTATTGGTTGTAAATATTACTCAAAGTTTGAGTAAAAAGTAGCCCTTTCAATAGTACTCAAGAGTAGTGAGTATTTAGTATTAGGCTGTAGCTTAAAAAGCTACAATTAGAACAGCAGTTTCTTTTATTGAAAATTTGCAGCTCATTTTTATACTTGTTAATATTTGGTTAGATTAAGGTTGTGATGTCAGGTGACCAAAATCCAATGTCTAGCCAGCATCTAAGGACAACGTTATTTTGATGTCCAATAATAACGTCAAATGGCATTGATATTTGGTCAATTTTAGCTTGTTAGAAAGAGACCAAAATCCAACGTCAAGCCAACATCTTAAACCAACAGTACCTGTATATTGACGTCAAATACTGAGATTTATTCATCAGGTGTGGCAATCAAAATCCAAAGTCTGATAGATGTCATAGTGGCAACGTCCACAGAACATCAAGCTGTAACATTATTCAATGTTGATGTATGGTTGGTTTTAGGTTGTATGTTGGACATTGACGTTGGTCTGATATTGAGTTCTTACGTCAACCTGATTTTTATTTCCAAACAAAATGTAACGTCCCCATGATGTTAGGGTACAACGTCAATCTGAAGTCATGCTGACATATTGTGCCTGCTGGGAGTTGAAGACCATTTCGGTAATAATACAGTTAACATTCGTCATCTTCTGATATGGTCTCTGAATCAATGTGTGTAAAGATTGTGGACATCTTCTTGGACACTTTTAATGCTTCCGAACATATTGCTGCAATTATAAAGTGCCTTTTTCTTGAGGTAGTTTATAATGATGCGTCAGCCAGACTCCATTGCCGTAAGCACTGTCTCTGGGCCAAGCACATCAACCACAGTTTAAGAACTCAGAGATGCAGGATTTGAAACCCTATGGGCTCTATTTTGACAATCCATGCGCAAAGTGCATAGCGCAGGGCGCAAACGTATTCAGGGCATGTCAGAATCCACTTTTGCTAATATAAGGACGGAAAATTCCGCTTTGGGCTAAAAGGGTTAAGCTTATTTTCTTAATGAGTTATAGGTATGTTTTGAGAATGAACCAATCAGAGTTTCATCTCCCACTCCCTTTAAGAACCAGTTGCATCGCGCCATAGTGCATTTGCTATTTACATGACGACTTTGCAAGTGGAAAAACTGAGCGTTTAACTAGCAAGAAAACAGTTAAACAGAGCATCTACAGCACGAGAATGAGAGATAAGGCCTCTCATTATCTACTTTCACTTTCGCTTTCGTGGATAGGGAAACCTTGTATGCACAGACATCAAGTAGCCTATAAATAATTAATTTCGTTTGTTAAGTGCAAAGATTTGTTTCAAAACTATTTCTAAATTCAGTTCTAATTTCCAGCAAACGAATAAATAAACAATAATAACGAAGTGTTTAAAAAAACTGACTTGTATCCAAATACACATGCTGTGTGCCATATGGTCTAAAACCTGACAGGTTTTCTAAGCTTGTTTTTAATTAAAAAAATATAAATACGCATATAATTAATAATACTGCTAATAATGATAACATTATACAAAAGCAAATATTTAGGAATGAACTGAAAAAGCCCCCGGAGATGAAGAAGGCATGAAAGTATGGTTTTAAATTTATTTTATATTTAGGCTAAAAAATAATATGTTTTGTAATATTTTAATCTTTTATATTCATATCCTAAATATATCCTTATTATATTCTATATATATACTTGATACTTAAAATATTTTTAATATGTTAAGATATTTGCATATATTGCACTCTGTTCTGGGCAATAGACTGGCTTTGTTCTGGTCTATTGAACAGTCTGTTATAGTTTCTTAAAATAGCAACGCGCCAGCTATGCGCCTCACAACGCCTTCCTTTTTAGACTAGAACGCCTATGGTCGCGCATATGAGCACAAATGCAAATGCATGCTATTTAAACAGCGTGCTGCAAAATGTCAAAATGACTCTTGCGCCAATCTGAAACTAGCAAACAACAATTGCACCTTGCGCCACGTTGCGCCAGGTGTTTGATAGGGCCCTATATCTTACATCCCATTCACATGGGGCTTCAGCGTCAACGCTTGAAGGCTGGTCTGAAGTTGGGGCTGACGCGATCGCCATAGCAGCGTCAGCCAATGAAAATCAGTCAGTAATAGGCCACTGTCTAGCTCGTGTATTTGCATACAGTGATCTGACGCTTCCGTCGGCGCTTGAAAAGTTGAGCTAGTCCCAACTTCTGCAGCAAACAACGCCTCTGAATCGGCACCGATGGATCCACAATGCAGTTTGGCAACGCCTGACGTCACCCATTCAAAGTGAATGGGAAGCGTTGACGCTGATGCCCTGTGTGAATGGGCGTTACTATCTCCACCATGGTCTGTCTTGACTCCAGACTGTCTTGACTGCAGACTCCCTGCAGACACCTCCCTCACCACCTGCGTCCTCAGATATATTCGCGCATAGACGACAGAATAGAGAGGGCACCCACGTGTAGGGCGGCAGAATTGAGGTCCGCGACACCCGTGCATCCTGTTATATCCACGCATAGGGGGGCAGAATAAAGAGCGCAGTGTCGCGACACTTCCCTCCCTCCCTCCCTCAGCACCCGCGCGTCCTCAGTTATTTCCGCGCATAGTGCGCCGGAAAAGAGGTCCGTGACATTTCACTTCATTTTCATAACCGGTCGCTTTCGTTTTCACATTGGGGTTGAGGGCGGCGTGATCGTCCTCTGCCTAGAGCGGCAGTTCAGCTTGCTCCGGCCCTGGTCTCTGTAGAAAGTAAATCTCCAGCAACTGCTTTTAGATGGAGCAGTTTATGACAGTGTGGAGCAATGGTTCACTGACAAGCTATGCAAACAATCATGGATGATTAAATCTGCTCAATCCTGAATTCAAAGATAACCATTCTTTGATTTAACAGCTGTTTGCTGTTTGCTTCTCAGTGAACTATGACCATGTGTTGCTGCAACAACTGAGAGCATGTGAACATTTAATAACAAACTTTTCTCCAAACAATAAAAGTCAAAAATAAAAGCGGTTTAATCGTCTGCTCTGTTTGAGTTCCCATGTCTCTTCTTTGTGGTGTATTTGTAATTTTCATGTGAGAGTGCCCCCTGGCTCTTGGAGTAAATTTTCTATTGATAACAGAGCCAAGTTGTCACCTTTGAATTATTCAACTTATTGTCCGCCGACTAGTGGGCGCTGCCATTTGAATCTTTTTGGCTTCCGGTCTCATTCACTTCCATTCATTTTTTGACTTTAAAAACTGCTCATTACGCTGCTTGATGTTGAAATTGGATATTTTCTTATTATATTATTCTACTTGGTCTTTATAGTCATGCAAACATTTGTTTGTAGAGCAAGTAGTTTGACCGTTTTCTGCCGTTTATTATTCCTAGTCATTTCTCCCATAGGCGACTGAATCGGAAGTTCTAAGACAATCGCGAAAACAGGCGCACTTCCGCATTCTAGAATAAGGTCAATAAGGTTCTATCTGCGTTCTGAATGATTTAGAGATATTGAGCTTCAAATTGTTTGCATTTCATATAGCAAACAGTATGTGTGTAACATTTTTTTTTTTATATAAAAATTCTTAAAATGTAAACAACAGAAAAAAACATCCCATAATGTAAATAAGTTGTCATTTAATAAGAACATGTCAATAACTCAATTTTGACCAAAATGTCAGATAAAACCTTATAATTCCAAGGTGATGAAGTATTCCTGACAAGATGAGCATGAGAATCACATCTTCGCAATCTCAGAATTTCGATTAATTGTGCAGCCCTAATATAATATGATATGATTGAAAAGATATAACTTTGTTGCCAGACTTTCTAGAATATTTTTTGCACAACAGTGTGTTTGTTGCACACTCTTTACAAACAGAGAAAACACAACCTAAAACATAGACAATAAATACAATAAAATTCTAATTCGTTTTAATTGAAATTCAGTGTAATGATATAAAGAGTAAATATTAAGAGTAATAACCACATCATGTAGTGTTTCCCACGGACTCCTCTGTGTTTTTCCCCTTGAGCTCTCTTGATTTTCATAGAGTTTCTTTAATAACTGCTTGTCACTAATTTAATATGATCAGATTTATTTGTTTGCTTCCGTGTTCTGTGTTTTTTATGTCGAGTTGCCAGTTGTTGTCTGTATGTTTACTAAACTGTTGTGTTTCACTGTTAGCCCTTTTTGATACTTACAGTACTTAAAATGTTTATTTACTTAAAATCACTAATCAAACTATCTGGCTTAGTATAGCATGTTTAGTGTTAATAATATTATAGTGCATGGAACTATATCTAAAAATTATGAATTTAATATATTTTAAATGTACTGAATTGCAAATTTATTGTTACAAATATGTTAATTCCCAGGCATGCACATTGCAGTAGACTTTAAAGGGCACCTATTTTACCCCTTTTACACAATGTAAGATAACACTTTGGTGTCTCCAGTTCTTAAATCTTCAGGAGGGAGATAAATGGGGGTGGGGGCAGAGTGTGGAGGCACTTTCTATCCAAGACTAAAAATGGCATGTGGACTGCACAGGTTGAGCCTTATGTGTGCATGTGCCTGCCTGTGGTGTTAAATGCAAATGAGCTGCTCGCCCTCCCACCAACTGCTCCCATGTTTTCCAGATAAACAGCAGTCAGTGATAAAGACAGACACAGATGACGCTGAAATACAGCTCATTAGTCAAAAATACCAAGTAACTTTATTTGATGCGTTTGTGGCGGAGTTCATTCAAGCCTTTCTGAAAGGATGAGTCTCACACAAATGACGCTTGGAGTGCACACACCCACACATATATATGCACATTTACTGACACCATGTGGCCGTAGTGATTATAGCGGTTAAGAATTTGCAATTTTACTGTCTTTATTACAAACATGCTCTGTTTTAAAACATTTTAAACTTATAAAAATTGAAGAGTTGGAACAGATATTTTATCCCAGTTTGTATGCAAAAAAAAATTCTGTGTACATGTGTGTATATGTTATCATAGAAACATGGTGACTGTCAATCAATTCGGTTGGTGGGGAAAACCGCACTCCTATGTACATCACGTTGCGTTGGGCCTCAATATCAGAGACTTGGGTCCTTTTTTATTGTCAGGAAATTTTAAAAAAGAGACTTGTTGAGTTTATATCACTCCAATATGACACATGATACTTACAGACAGTTCTGTACAAACAGCTTACAAACGTTGATTTTTTTTATAGGTGCCCTTTAAAGAATGTTTTGGTTTGTAATAATTGCTTAAACACTTTATTGTACAACAGGATACTTTAACCATATTTAAATCACAATAGTAGCAATCCTGAAATTACTTGTAAAAAAAGAGACAGTCCTTTGTTTAAAATTCATAAAAATCTATTATTTCTATAATAAGCATTGACTGAACAGTCTAAAATATATCTATATTTTTTAAGATAAAAATTTGTCAATGGACATCTAATTGAAAAAAGGGGATTTATATATTTGATGCTAAAAAAGTAAGAGTTTTTTTAAGCATAATTGTACCTATTTGTGGAAAAAGTACCAATTATCCAGCTTTCAGGTCTTATGCTGTTCTAAGACTCCTATGCTGAAGACTCCATTGTTCTTCCTTTTTTTTAGGATTGCCCAGCTGTATGTTACGGCTTACCTCCCTGCTGTTCCTGTAAGCATAACAACATGTTTTTTTTTTTTTTCCACAAAGACGTTCAGTGATCGTGCTTTCATCTCTGTGCTGGTCTTGTTTTTCTAGAGTGCAAGTTCAAATGTTTCCCAGTGCTTTCTTCAAATTGTGCTGCTCTCTCTTCAGGACACTTTTTGTTTACTGTCAAACTGTCAATCGTGTTCATGTAATATTTGAAGATTGCAGCCACATGCATCCAGTCATTTTCATAAGCTTTCCTTCTGCTGACAGCACTGATGTCCTTTATTGTTCATTCTTCCGTTTCCTAGGCCATGTTTCTGCACTATCTGCAGGTGTCTTATCTGCAAAACCAGGTACAACCTCTCTGTAAGCTTGTGATGTTGCACTGAACAACATATATACTGTATGTGTGTGTGTCTGTATGTGTATAAATTGCCCAGCATAACCAAGTACATCCCTCTTTTTTAATTATTGTTTTTTTTTATAGAATGCTATTCAAAAATATATTTGCGTATATACAGTTGAGATCAGAATTATTAGCCCCCCTTTACATTTTTTTTCCTTTTATAATATTTCCCAAATGATGTTTAACAGAGCAAGAAAATTTTCACAGTATGTCTGACAATATTTTTTCTTCTGGAGAAAGTTTTATTTTATTTTGGCTAGAATAAAAGCAGTTTTTATTTTTTTAAAGACCATTTAAGGTCAAAAATATTAGCTCCTTTAAGAAAAATCTAAATAAACATCAAACATAAAATTGAATAAAATATAAGACTATAGTTGAAACGTTTAAAAATCCAAAATCAAACAAAAAGTGCTCAGGGGTAGCTTAAATAATGTGTCGGTGCTCTTAAGGTAAGGGATTCATGAGAATAAACAGCAAAAATCAGTCAAGGCGCTTGAAAAAAGGGGAAAAACTTCAAAATATATATTTCCACATTTTTCGAGTGCCTTGGACTGATTTTTGCTGTTTAGTTGAAATGTTGTTTGTAATTTTTTTTTGCAACACCTCATTTGAATTTAGAAGTACTATCTATTCTTAAATAATTTAGATAAACTAAAATCTTATTTTGGCGAGGCAGTGGCGCAGTAGGTAGTGCTGTCGCCTCACAGCTTGAAGGTCGCTGGTTCGAACCTCAGCTCAGTTAGCGTTTCTGTGTGGAGTTTGCATGTTCTCCCTGCCTTCGTGTGGGTTTCCTCTGGGTGCTCCACAGTCCAAAGACATGCGGTACAGGTGAATTGGGTAGGCTAAATTATCCGTAGTGAATGAGTGTGTGTGTGAATGTGTGTGTGGATGTTTCCCAGAGATGGGTTGTGGCTGGAAGGGCATCCGCTTCGTAATAACTTGCTGGATAAGTTGGGGGTTCATTCCGCTGTGGCGACCCCGGATAAATAAAGTGACTAAGCAGACAAGAAAATGAATGAATGAATAAAATCTTATTTTGATTAAATTAACGGTTTAATTAAACTGCCTTGTTTAAATGCATCAAAATACATTGTCCATATTAACATAGAAATGAATATTCATTTTCAAAAGGGGATATATATAACTATATGCTTATTGTCAGGTCTTAACATTTACAAGATAAAACAACATAACATGAACAACATATCTCAAACCTCAAAGATATATATATAAATCAAGGCAAGCTAGAAAAGCCATGGGTGACCAACTTAGGACGTCCTAAGATTCAGATGGCTGTAGATCCACTTCCAGCAGTAACTAAAATACAGGGCGGGCAATTTATATGGATACACCTTAAGAAAATGGGAATGTTTGGGGATATTAACGTCATGTTTGTGGCACATTAGTATATGTAAGGAGGCTTGTAAATAACTCATGAAAGAATAAAGTTATGTATAAAATCACGCACACCATTGTTTTTCTTATGAAATTCCCAGTAAGTTTATTAAGGTGTATCCATATAAATGGCCCACCCTGTATAATCATTTTCTATATGTTTCTCAAAATATTCTTAAAGAGATTTTGAGTTTTCTGCACAGCTTTCTCCACAGTATTTTAGTTTGAAGTCTGCACTTTGACTGGATTATTGATTTCTTTTTCAGCTTCAGTGCTGGTGTAGATTTGCTGGAGTGTTTGGGATCATTGTCTTGTTGCTAAGCTTTATTTCTCTGAAAGGCAATGTGTTCACACACACTCCTGAAGGCCTCAGACTAACAAATTGTTAAACTTCTAAAGCTGATGACTAGTTATACTATATGTGGTTGTTGTTTATGAGGTTTTATCTACCAAAGTTTAAGACTTGCCAAAGATGAGATACATTTTCAATGTATTATATGGATATGTTTAAGTTTCTGACCTTTTGGTATTGTATTGCAATTTCAGGGTATCATCTTGCCCCAGATGTACACAGCAGTTGCTGCCAACATTTTAAATGTAGCAACAAACTACATCCTTCTTCACGCAATGAAGCTTGGAGTAAAGTATGTACAGTATGTTTCGGTTAAACATTCATACATAAACTTTTGATCTGTGATGATTTTTAGGATAAGCAAGTAATGTCTAATGTGAAACGTGTGATTGTGTGTGCGTGTGCAGGGGTTCTGCTGCAGCCAACAGTATCTCACAGATCACCATCTGCCTCCTGCTGTTTGCTTACATACGTTGGAAAAAACTGCATCTGAAGACATGGGGTGGTGAGGAATATGTAGAAAGCTGCGCGCACACACAGACACAAACTCATATTTGTGTGTGTGTGTGTTTTTCTTTTTTTAGGATTTATTGACTTATAAAATGATTAAAGGAAGCCAAATTGTATTACTTTAATTATTAAGTGGCTTTTACATCCTGTATAGTTGTGTTTTGAAGTTAAGTGCCCTTTAGCTGAAATAAAAATAATGAGTTCTGTTGCATGTGTCATCATGAAATGATGCATGTATTACCACTCTTACCAATTAAATGCTAACCAAGTGCAATCTATCGATCTTTTACACTTAATTATTAATTCTGAAGAAAAGTAGGAATAAAACATTTAAGCACGCTTTTAGTTTGTTCAAAAACAAAAAGTTTTATTTATCAGTTCAATGTATCATCAGTAGCAGGGCCGGAGTGGGACTCTTTTTCAGCCCTGGAGTTTCAAGCCTTAGACCGGCCCACCTCAGTTCACCACTGACTATATTAAAATAAGGTCATTTCCAATTCAGTTTCTAATTACAATATCACGTCTTTAAAAAACAAAAACAAAAAAACAGCTGTTTTAGAACTTCAAATGTTCAACAACCCTTAAAGTATTATATGTTTTAACAATAAAAATGAAAAAAATGTTACTCAGACGAGGACCGTACCCGGATTCTTGGCGTCATAACTTAACGTGCTAACCACTGTACCACAACAGCTTGCTCAAGAGAATAGGAGAAAATAGATAAAAAGAGCAGAGCTGCCGTAAAATAGTGAATAAGAAGACTGTGGTCAAGTAAATAATTAAATTATTTTTAAAAAGTGTGACTGCTGAGAGCAACAGATTCTGGAGCTAGGGACACCGGCCCTCGCGGCCAAAAAACGGACCGGCCCACCGGGAATTCTCCCGGTCCTCCGATTAGCCAATCCGGGCCTGCTCACCAAAAATCCGGGCCTGCTCACCAAAAACCACAGGTTCAGCTTAAAATATTTTCTAATAACCAGATAAATCACCAAAAATGGTGAATTAAAACATTTTTATTGAACAAAACTGTTCTTAATATGAACAAATCATTTATTACACCCATAACAGTCATGTTATGCCTGTACTGTACATGTCAGGTCCTTCGTGGAATTGATTTTACCAGAGTGAAATCATCTCCTCTTTTCTAAAGGACTTTCAGCTGTGAGCGCATCAAAATCAAGCAATCAATTTTTTTTTTTTTTTTTTAAATCGACTCCCATTCCCTGAAAAACCAGCAATACACCAAAGAGTGTCAGTAATTTAATCACTTCAGTCTGACTTCCTTCTACTTGGACACTGATGAGCATTTTCTCAGAGGATTAAAAAATGTGTTCCTTAAAGGGAAAGAGATTAAGATCTTTACTTTTTTGGCAACACTTTATAATAACTACACACTATGCATCAATAATTAAGCATTTGCAAATAGTTAATTTATTATCTGTTAATGATTAACTCACCTACATTATCACCTTCTATCACCTACATTATTAGGTGATAGAAAGCAGTTTGTAAATACAGCTACAAATACTTTATTCTTGATTTATAAGCATGTTTATAATGTGCTTAGTGACTGCATTTTCATATTTTGTTAGTGATTATTCGTTCATTACTTAATTAAGTATTGCATTATTTACAAACTAGTTATTTAAGAGCAGTTGGTGCTATTTTAAGATCATTCAGAAGGCATAAGTAAATGATGAATAAACTATTCAAATTAACATTCATATATCTTATTCAGGCATATACGAACAGTTAATTTGTATGTTAATAAGTGCTTTATTAACTCAACAGTTTTACAACCTAGTCTAAAGTGAGGACTATTTATGCTTTATAAATCTCTTATAAATGACCATTCAGTTATATTCTCAACAGAAAAAAAGAATACTTTATTAATTTCTATTCATTTGAAGATACACAAATGAAACTGTATCAAAAGAAAAATAAATCTTTGCAATCCTAACTGAAATAAAATGAAATAAAATGTTAACATCATAATATATTGTTAAACTATTTTATTGTTGTTTCATCCAGTTTTATGTAATTTGTATTTGTTTCTAATTGTATTTTGACTCTCCTGTTATTCAGAAATGCTTGAATTTTACAGTATTTTTTTAGTAGGATTACTTCTATTGTTGAACATTTATTGTTCATTTAATTGTAAGATTTATTTGTCATTATGAGGGATTTCCAAACCATAAATAGTCCTCACTTTAGATTTGGTCACAAAACTGCATGAAGTTGAGTATAGTTAACTCAAAATTTAAAAAACGTGAATTCTACTCATTTGAACGGACTGTTGAAAGTGATGAGTTAATTAAATACCTCATTACTTCAACTTAAATCCAGTAAGCTTGCTCGAATGGTTTGTTGCAATCAGTTTTCTCTATTTTCAGTTTTCTCTACTTACAGTGCTCAGCTGATTTGAGTTCTCTTCATTTATTGGGCTTAAATCGCTTCGTTTACTCAAATGGATTAAGTTCACAGTACTCATAAGGATTAGTTTTTGAACTTAAATGGTTTGTTGCAATAGGTTTCCTCAAAGGGTTTGAGTTACTTTAACTTTTTGGGTTTTACTGTGTAGTAACCATATATGCCTGAATAATAAAGTATATAAATGTTGATTTGAATAGTTTATTAATCATTTACTAACTCATTTTAATACTTTTAAATATAAAAAATTTAAAACTTTTTAAATTTAATTTAAATACAAATGGTTTGTAAATAATGCAATACTGAATTTAGTAATGAACAATTATTAAGTAATAAAGTATTAAAATACAGTAATTAGTACAATATAAATGTGCTTATGTCAAAAATAGAGCATTTGTATCTGTATTTATTAACTGCTTACTAACATATATTAATGTAGAGTTAAGGTTGATAAGATAATTAAATATTTGCTGGTGCTTAATAGATGATTCACAGTTTGTAGTTATTATAAAGTGTTACAGTTTTTTGTCAAATTTACACTATTATGAAAGAGAATTTACACTTGGAGTTTGCATGTTCTCTCTGCTTTCTCGTGGGTTTCCTCAGGGTGCTCGGGTTTCCACCACAGTCCAAAGACATGCGGTACAGGTGAATTGGGTAGGCTAAATTGTCCGTATGTGTGAGTGTGTGTGAATGTATGTGTGTGGATGTTTCCCAGAAATGGGTTGCAACTGGAAGTGCATCCGCTGCGTAAAAACTTGCTGGATAAGTTGGCGGTTCATTCCGCTGTGGCGACCCCGGATTAATAAAGGGACTAAGCCGACAAGACAATGAATAAATGAATGAATTTACACTATTTATTCCCCCACAAGGCGGTTCATTCCACTGTGGCGACCTCGGATTAATAAAGCGACTAAGCAGACAAGAAAATTAATGAATGAATAAATTCACCCATAAGTGGTTCCAAACCTTTATGAGTTTTTTTGACTTTCACACAAAAGGCGATATTTTGATGGAAACGTGTAATCATTGACTTCAATAGTAGGAAAAACAAATAATACAGAGATCAACGGTCACAGGTTTCTAGAAATATCTTCTTTTGTGTTCAACAGCACAAAATCAAAACAGGATGATAACATAATTTTCATTTTTTGGGTCAACAATCTCTTTAATGAATTTGTTTTCAACTCAGTTTTTAATTTATGAAAAAAAAATCAGGCATTTGTTGCTACTATTTGAGCTACATTAACATTAGCTTTTCAATGTTGCACACAACATTGCAAATTGTTGTGATACACAATTGCTTTATTTACTTCATTAATTCAACATCATAGACAGAGTTTCAGTGAAGTGTGCACATGATGACTGCAGTGATTTGTGTGTTTGTGCTTGTCGCCTCCTACAGGCTGGTCAACAGCATCACTGCAAGAGTGGGGCTCTTACATGAAACTGGCCATTCCCAGCACTCTCATGCTCTGCTTCGAGTGGTGGATCTACGAGATCGGAGGTTTCCTGGCAGGTGTGTTTTTTTAGTGAGAGAATGAATTAATGATTCATTGGCATTTTGATCTTAAAAACGAAATATATTGCAGTAATGGAAACAAAATTGCAACATAAGTAATGCTAAATCTTGTAACAGCCAGTTTTTTTTGTTTGTTAATCATTACTTATTTATGTATGCCAGATCACTGGTTGTTTTATGGCTTACAAATCATCTCTTAAATTGCCTAACTAGGCTCTAGCTGCCCAAATGCACAAGTAGAATGATATAACACAGCCATTATACTAAGAATGAATTGTTATTTTAATTCTTCTGACGATTGGCAGGAATGCTGGGTGAGGTGGATCTCGCTGCTCAACATGTGCTGCTAGAGATCGGGAGCATTGCTTACATGGTAAGATGGTACCATTTAAAGGGGTGGTCAAACAGCTGTTTTCAAACTGTATGTTTATGCTTTGTTTAATAAAAATCATTCTCAACACACTCCGTTCATGAAATATCATCCTCAAAAGGGCACTTTAGAGTGAAAACAATCATGGCAGCCATATTAAGGTGTTGTGCCAAATGAAGTGCCCAAAAATGGCCTCTTCAAAGGGCCCTTAAAATTATTTAAAATAAAATATCTGATTGACACTTTGGGCCCTCATTATCCTTTACAAAGGGAAGTTTGGTGACAAACAGCACATGCCATTCTGAAGGGTTAAGCCCAAGTCCCTTTGTAGCTTTCATTTCAGAGAGTAAACTTTTCTAAGGGATGAATTTTGGGTGAACCCTTTAAAAGCAGCTCTTGCATTTTTATGCTATTTGTTCAACTGAATTAATGCTAAATTGTTAGGGTCTTTCATGTTTAGTTTCCATTAGGTGTGCATGCGGCCGCTTGTGTGCGAGTGGGAAATGCACTGGGGGCTGGAGACACTGTCAGGGCTCTGATCACCAGTAAAGTGACTCTCATGATCTCAGGTCAGCAGAAAGCGTACACAATTACAAAGTTCACCTATAAATGAAGTGTTCAGTCACCCTCATGTTGTGTCCAAACACATAGAAAATTTCATGAAAAAAGACAAGGAAAGTTAATAAAAAATATACAAATGAAACAAGCAGTTTAATCTAAACCAGCAAACAATGTTTACAGCATTCAAACTTGGTCATAGAGGCTCAATCATGCTTGCTTGGCATGAAAGAACCAATTAGGTCAATCATGATCAAAGTTTTGTGTGAATAAAAGCCCAATCAAATCGTATAAAGTTATACACTCACCGGCCATTTTATTGGGTACACCTGTCCAACAGCTCGTTAATGCAAAATTGTAATAAGTCAATCACATGGCAGCAACTCTTTAGGCATGTAGACATGGTCAAGATGATCTGCTGCAGTTCAAACCGAGCATGAGAATTGGAAAGAAAGGTGATTTAAGTGACTTTGAACGTGGCATGGTTGTTGGTGCCAGATGGGCATGTATAATTATTTCAGAAACTGTTGATCTACTGGGATTTTCATGCACAACTATGCCTTGGGTTTACAGAGAATGGTCTGAAAAAGAGAAAGTATCTAGTAAGCGGCAGTTCTTTGGGCGCAAGTGCCTTGTTGATGCCAGAGGTCAGAGGAGAATGGCCAGACTGGTTTGAGCTGATAGAAATGCAACAGTAACTCAAATAACCACTCGTTACAACCGAGGTATGTAGAAGAGCATCTCTAAACACACAACACGTCCAACCTAGAGTTGGTACAGCAGCAGAAGACTACACCGGGTGCCACTCCTGTTAGCTAGGAACAGAAAACAGGCTACAGTTCGCAAAGGCTCACCAAAAAAGGACAATAAAAGATTGGAAAAACGTTGCTTGGTCTTATGAGTCTCGATTTCTACTGGGACATTCGGATGGTAGGGTCAGAATTTGGTGTCAAAAACATGAAAGCATGGATCCATCCTGCTTTGTATCAATGGTTCAGGCTGCTGATGGTGGTGTAATGGTGTGGTGGTATTTTCTTGGCAAACTTTGGGCCCATTTGTACCAATTGAGTATTGTGCCTACACCTGAGTATTGTTGCTATGAGTATGAGTATGACCACAGTGTATCCATCTTCTGATGGCTATTTCATGCAGCATAACATGCCATGCCATAAAGCGTGAATCATCTCAATCCAATAGAGCACCTTTGGGATGTGGTGGAACGGGAGATTCACATCATGGTTTTGCAGCAGACAAACTTGCCGCAACTTTGTGATGCTATCATGTCAATATGGACCAAAATCTCTGAGGAACATTACCAGTACCATGTTGAATCTATGCCACGAAGGATTAAGGCAGTTCTGAAGGCAAAAGGAGGCCCAACCCGGTACTAGTAAGGTGTACCTAATAAAGTGGCCTGTGAGTGTACATCAAAAGCATTTATTTTGTTTTGGAGAATTTTGGGTTAATAGTCAGACTGGAAAAGACATTCTGATTTGAATCAAGAAGAAATATATCAAATTTGATATGTTTATTTGTTGTGTGCAAGATGATTAAATTGCTTGTGAGTTTGGAATGACATGACAGTGATTAAATGATATCAGTTTTTATTTTTGGATGAACTTTTTCCTCAATATCAAGTATCCAGAAGAAAAAATAACTTCAGTCTTTACTGTATTGCAGGGATTTTGGCTTTTGCACAGGGAATCGGGATCGCTTTGACAAAGTCCAAATTAGGCTACATCTTCACCTCTGATGAGTATGTACTCTTCTCTACTAATACTAGCTTATTACACTTTACAGATTTATTCATTATGTAATATAATGTGATATAATTATCTCATTTTAAGCCTTAGATAAATGAATGAGAACAAATATAAAGGCTGCTATCTAAAGCAACTCAGGCTCATTGTGGATATGTACCCGGGGCTACATTTCTGTGGCCCGTGAAATACATACCCAGAATAACAGTTGCTTGAAGTTTTTGTTTTTGCAAATCCAGCAGAGGCCACTGTGTACATTTTTGATGACGTCAAATTTCTCTCATACCTGACGTTTTGCATTCTCTTCTCGTCTAAATCCACCAGAAACTGCGATTCACATTTCATTAGGGATGTAACGGTATTGTAAATACTGTCATACCGCAATATTAATTTTTTTCGATATTACCGTAGTCGCATGACTCGGTAAAACTATAGGTTTTCTGAGAAAATTTGCTCAGGCGAATGAAGCAAACGGGAGGTAGCGAACACTACAATTCCCATCAGCCCATGCTTGACCATCATCCCTTGCGGTCTGTTGTCGCTACAGATCCAGTAATGCGGAAATGGAGTGTGCTGCTAGAAGCGGGGATGAAAAAGAGCTTGAAAACTCTAAAGCGGGTGTTGTCGCTGCGCGCGTACTGAATAGCGGTGTTGTCGCGCGAGTTCTTATCAGCTGTGTTGTCGCGCGAGTTCTTATCAGCTGTGTTGTCGCGCGAGTTCTGATCAGCTGTGTTGTCGCGCGAGTTCTTATCAGCTGTGTTGTCGCGCGAGTTCTTATCAGCTGTGTTGTCGCGCGAGTTCTGATCAGCTGTGTTGTCGCGCGAGTTCTGATCAGCTGTGTTGTCGCGCGAGTTCTTATCAGCTGTGTTGTCGCGCGAGTTCTGATCAGCTGTGTTGTCGCGCGAGTTCTTATCAGCTGTGTTGTCGCGCGCGTACTGAATAGCGGTGTTGTCAGCACACTGTTCAGATTGATGCAGACCTCTATCTCACTCATGGTTTGTCCTCTCAAGTGGGGGAAAGACAATGCACAACGTTACCCACTGCTGTCAACCTGGGCCAAGTCATATCTCTCTGTCCCAGAAACCTCAGTCCCAAATGAGAGGGTTTTTTTCTGTTGCAGGGGACATTGTAAATACCCAGAGATACCAGATTATACCAGATTATAGTTATATGATAATTTTCCTTTAAACCCATCTCTATCTAAGTGAGTGAGTGAGTGATTAAATGTTGAATGTGATGAGTTTTCAACAATACTAAATTGAAACTTTATTTTTTTACATGGTTTAATATTTTTTTGTTATTAAAATTGAAGTTCCTGTTTTAAAGCTAACAGATAGATGGCTAATTTGTATGTAATTGACACTTTTGGCACTTTTTTGGAGTATTTTCATAAGTTTTGTTTTTTCCTGTAAATGATTCAATAAATACTGTACCCTGACATTCATACCGAGGTATTACCGTACCGTGAAATTCTGATACCGTTACATCCCTACATTTCATCCAAACAACTTGCAGTTGACTGAACGACTGACCCAACCATTCTCTTCCCTAAACCCAACCGATATTGTTTTTAAAAGCAATCTACAGTGGCTGTGTGCTTTCACCACATTTTCAGCCTGTTATTTATTTAATTATTTATTTAGAGTTTATTTACTATTTATTGGCATATGTGGCAGGCTACTGGGCATACTGTTAACACAGGAAACGCCGTCCATAGCTGTTGGCAGCATCATATCGCCCCATAGCAATCATTTTACACACAAAAGGCAGCCAGATGTAGCCTCAGGCACATATTTGTTTGTTTCCAAGAAATATAAACCTAGGCACGTATCCACAATAAGCATGTGTTGAATTAAAGTGACGAGAGTGAAGATCTTCTTTTATTGTTTTGCAGTTCTCACTTCTTGATTTAATCTAACAGGAGCATAGTGGCAATTGTCTCGCAAAATCTCACGCTGTACGTTTTCCTGCAGTTTTTTGATGCTCTTGTGGTAAGTCTGAATGCTTTTAACAATTATTAGTTCATGAAAGGCAATACAGCCCTTAATATAGATAGTCTTTATGACTGGACTGGAACTGTGGCACTATATAGATAGCTTCAGGGGTGCTCAATCCTGTTCCTGGAGATCTACCTTCCTGCAGATTTCAGTTGCTACCCATATCAAACACACCTGCCTGTAATTATCACATGGTGTTCAGGTCCTAATTAATTGGTTCAGGTGTGATTGATATGGGTAGCAACTGAAATCTGCAGGAGGGTAGATCTCCAGGAACAGGATTGAGCACCCCTGGCGTATGTTATACTGCCTACTGATAGCCTTTCATCATTACTATATGTGTGATGTCAAAGGAATCAAAAGGATTTCTTGTGATGTCATGATTTATGGTTCTGTGAAATGATGTAACTGTCTGATTACGATGAAGTCTCTACAACAGACGGCTTGTGTTGTGTTTTAGTGTGTGTGTTCGGGGATTCTCCTTGGTGCCGGGAAGCAGAAGATTGCAGCAGTGTCTAACTTGATCTGCTACTACTGTATTGGTTTACCAGTGGGAATATCACTCATGTTTCTGGCAGAGCTCAGGATACTTGGTAGTTTACTCTTCTTCATCTCCATTCTTCTGATTCATCATACATTTAATGTTTCTTTGTGTTGTAATGAGCTGCAAACACTCCTGTCTCTTCTAATTTCAAAATAAGAGACCCACAAAGATTAGTATGTCTAAAATAGGCAATGGTTATGTTATAATAGTTAGTTAATTTTTCTACAAACTAATTGTCATTAAGCACATTTAATTTTTAAGGGTCCCACTTTATATTAAGTGGCCTTAACTAATATGTACTTACATAGGAATTAATAGTTTGTTACAATGTACTTATTGTGTAAATACATGTATTTACTATGTACTTATGCTTGATATACACTGTTGACCATCCCTTACACCTTCTCCTACCCTTAAACCTACCCATGCCACCAAACCTGTCCATAACCCAACCTCCATTCCAACTCAAAAGCACCACAAGTGTTTTCAAATACATTATAAACACAGTAAGTAAATTGTATTTATTTTTTTTTATGTAAGTAAATAGTAGTTTGGGACACTAATATAAAGTGGGACCCTACTTAGCAACTAAACTCCTCTAATCCGGCCTTGTTAAAAACAGCAGTGGTTTCTTGTCATCTATTTTACACCTGAAACGTGCCGTTTTCCTTTTTCTATTCATTCAGGTCTGTGGCTTGGCCTTTTGATTTGTGTTATTATTCAGACCTGTTTCTTCACCACTCTCATCTTCAAACTCGACTGGAAGAAAGTTACAGAGCAGGTACAAATCAAAGCCCAGACAAATAAAAGCATGAATGGACTCTTTTTTACTGACAATGATAACACATTTCTTGAGTTATGAAAGGATCGGCTCACCCCAAAATTAAAATTCTGTTATTAGTTACAAATCATGTCTATTAGTTATAACTAGGCCCAGACGGATTCTGCTGACATTTTTAGCTATTTCTGCTGAGAATTTTGTAAAAAAAATCTGCAGATTTATGCAAAATGAATAAAGCAAAGCAAGTCTCTCATATAATACATCTAGTAAAAGACAGAAAATATTACTTTATAAACTGTATTGTAGATAAATCAAATGAACAATTTCATATTAGTCAATAATATTACTAAAAATAATTTAAAAACTGAATATAAATGTGCACAGATTTACACAAATAAATAAATAGACTCAATGATGGGCTAAAAATCTGCGGATTCCTGTGCGCGCAGATTCCGTGTGGACCTTTTCTCATTTTTGAAATGCAAATTAAGATATTTTAGAAGACATTAGAGCACTCTCGCCATCCACAGACAGAAAGTCACAAGATGTTCGAAGTTCAGAAAAGGAACCAAAAAAACACTCCCTGTGACTTAATCTCACCCATTACTGTAATCATACACACACAAGTGTTCTTGGAACCTTGTATAATTACCGTTGAACCACTGGTCACATGGAATGTTTTAGATATTTTCTGAACTGCAAACATCTCATGCCTGTTTCTGTCTATGTAGGATCAGAGAGCTCTCTACATTTTTTTAAATTGTGTTCTAAAGATAAACAAATGTCTCAGGGGATCAGAATGACATGCGGGTGAGAGTAATATCTTTCCTGCAACTGTTTTATGGCCTGTTTCCACTAAGTCACAGGTGTCAAACTCAGTTCCAAAAGGGCCGCAGCTCTGCACAGTTTAGTTCCAACCCTAATTAAACACACTTGATTAAACTAATTGAGTCCTTCAGGCTTGTTTGAAACCTACAGGTAAGTGTGTTGGAGCAGGGTTGGAACTATACTGTGGTGGGCTTCGGCCCTCCAGGAATTGAGTTTGACACCCCTGCACTAAGTGGTAAGGTATGAGGCATATTTATCAGGCTTATGTTTCAACTGCCAATAGGGTACCAATGGTACTCTTCTATTGGGCATGGTGTACAACAAAATGTTTTAATCAACATTATTCTCTCTTGAGGAAATGTCAAAGTAAAACTGTACAGGTTGTTTACATATCATATGAGAAGCACTTTGCACAAAATAGATGCTTTATAAACATACAAATGTTCATTACTAATCTTTCTATGAACATGATTTGCTTATAACTGCAGATCAATGATGCGAAAATAGTCTACAGTAACGTTTGCGATTATATAAAATAAATAAATAAACAAATGCAACATAAATGAACACATTACGGTCTCTGATATGTAAACATTCATTCATTCATTCATTTTCTTGTCGGCTTAGTCCCTTTATTAATCCGGGGTCGCGGAATGAACCGTCAACTTATCCAGCACATTTTTACGCAGCGGATGCCCTTCCAGCCGCAACCCATCTCTGGGATCTGATATGTTAAGAATTACAGAAAAACTACACACAGCATACATTTAGTCCTTATTTGGGTTCAAAAACGACATGCAACACGTAGCCCACCAGTCAGTGCAAACCTCTCTTTTGTATGCCAGTTTGTTCATGTTTTAGGTTGCTAAAAGACTCATTTGATCCTTTGTTTTTTCTCGCTTCTCTTTTGTTTTTCCACGTGTCACTCTCGCATTTGTCAGTTTCTGAAAGGATCGCATGTCAGAAGCGCTTCAATAATCATTTGCATGTTATTATCATCAGATCATGAAGTTCGTTATTTCTTATGTAGATGCGTGGCGAGCTCTCTGTGAAGCCGCTCACGCCTAAAGGCTGATTTATATTTCTGCATCAAGCGTGGTATGCTACAGCACAGCCTACACGTGGACGCATAGCCCTCGCCGTGGCCGTCGACATCGCTGACGCGCACCACTGAAATAATGTAACTGCATGTCACAACGACGCGTAGTGCATGTTCGTTGGAGCGACTGTTTACAAGTGTCGAGTCCTTTGAAGGAGCTCCAGATGAAAAGTTTTGTTTTGTGTTTACCTTATGGTTAAAGTTGTTGCACGTCTGCCGGTTCCCACCTCAATACAAACATGAGGGGCACAACTACAACTAGAAAAACAACTACAGGGCTCAGGGTAGATTCTGTTTTTGTTCTTGGCTTCGTAGCTGTTCATCAAGATGATGACAAGGTTTGTTTGAGATTGGGTCGACCATAGCTTGTTATTATATGTATATATTATTATGGTGTAATGTCTCGGCTGTGTATTTAAAAATGGTGCTTCACTGGTTTTCATTCTCCTGGCTTGTGCTAGTGACATATCTCTGTAAACCAATAGCATTTAGCTGCACGTCTGGCTCTGCCTTTTGGGTACCCTTTTGTTGTGCTAGGTACCCCTTCGTAGGGTACCCCTAAAAGTGATATGGTACAGTTTGCTTTTTGGTACCTTTTGACAGTGGAAACGGCCATAAGAGCGTACCGAATCATACCGTACAATACCATACCGTACCACTCAATGGAAATGGGCCATTATATCTATTACTAGATTAACAACCACAATACAGACTATGTTTATTTGATACGTGAATACAAATATAAACTGACCTTTCATGTCAATATCCCTATAATAATTTTAGTTTTTTCCTCATTGTAGCATAATTGTTTGTACGTGGATGTTTCATCAATGTTGAATTTGACCAAACTATGAACAACAGAAGTCAACTGTTGAAGGGTGTTTACTAATGCTGGCTAACATCCTCTTTAGGCCCAGAAACGTGCGGGCAAACATGCAAAGGTTGTGTGCTTGCCAAAGGCCCCGTTGATAGGCCCAGTTGTTGAAACCCTGGTTTCTGAAGACCAGGACAATGCAGAGCAAACTGATGGAACTTCAAGTATCCCTGAACCGTGGGATGACATAACGGGAAACAAAGTAAGTCCTACAGTAAAAAAAATGTTTGTTATAGTTTCAAAACCCTACTGCAATGTCTTAAATATTTACATTCATTTGTTCCTTCAGGCGCAGCTAACAAGTAGTAGCTCTGAAGTGTCCAGCTATATACAAGTGAGCACCCAGGACCAAGATAAACTAGCAAGTGAATGTGGAGAAGGCCAGCCTAAAGTCTTGCTTTCCATAAAACAGCTTGTGCTGAGACGAGGACTTACGCTGTTGATCACCTTACTGATCCTGATTGCTGGAATCACTGTGCATGTAGTTTGTCCTCTTCCAGAGCACTCTGTTCAACGTCAAAGCAACTTTACAAACGATTCAGGGAATTTTTCCACTCCGTTCAGCATTCTCAATATTACAATGAGCTAATTTTTAATTTCATTTTTCTTATCTGCAACTGGTGGACAATGGCTTATTTTTAATACGGTCATCTCCCATAAGGAGGACAGAAGAAAACTGATGCCACATGAATGGTGTTTGTCAGTGTTATTTAGGAGAGAGATGAAATATCTGCTGGCTCTTCAGTATACCAGCTACTAGTAGTGTCCGTTGTAGATCAGCTGAACAGCTTTACTCTGAATGTACAGTTTATAGTACTGTGAACTTTTTGTGACGCACTCCAACTCAGCTTGTATGCCAGTATACAGCAGAGTAAGACTACAGAAATAAGTTGTTATAACTGTGCAGTGTATGTTATTCCATTTCTTAGGATTTTACAGTTTAGGTACTTTAAATATGGCTTTATTATGCAGTTTATGAGGTTTAGTTTTTCTTGTGTATGTATTTATCATATCAAGTAAAGCATTCAATGATGAACTATTAAAACTTTTTTTATCCTTTAATCCTTTATAGTCTTTTTAAGTGCGTATTTAAAGCACCACACTACGTATACTTTTATTCAATCAGTACTAAAGACTACTCATGCACCTGGGGCTTTGTCAGTACACAATTTATTTGGGCCAGATTGTGTCTTGTGTTCATTCTGCACAGCTCTAGCTAGCTTTAAACAGTTTTAGACATTTTTTAAAACTGCCTGGATGTAGTGATAATGCAGTAGGTAGTGCTGTCGCCTCCCTGCAAGAAGGTCACTGGTTCGAGCTTCGTCTGGGTCAGTTGGCATTTCTGTGTGGATTTTGCACCTTCTCCCAGCGTTCGCGTGAGTTTCCTCCAGATGCTCCAGTTTCCCCCACAAGTCCAAAGACATGCGGTGTAGGTGAATTCGGTAGGCTAAAATTGCCCGTAGTGTATGTGTATGAATGAGAGTGTATGGGCGTTTCCCAGTGATGGGTTGCAGCTGGTGTTGTGAAGAGTTGCGCTGGATCCCGACAAACATCTTCTAGGTTTCAAAAAAGAGGCTGAGGTCTTCGAAGTTCTCAAGTTGATGTAAGATTCCAGAATATCAGACCTTAATAAATCTTATGGATTTTCATGAGGCAAGACCATAAGAATTTGATCTGAGAAGTGATCGGGAAACAAGCTGTTCAACTGTTCTATTCAAATCGCTGTGGACAATGCAAGCACAGGCTGGAAAAACAGAGCTACACCACTGCAGGGGATAATGCGAGACAGTCACCCTTCTCCTTTCACCTCAGGCCCCCGTTCTTGACCCTTATGTTACCTTCTGATCAGAGCACATTTCATATAAAATGTTCAAGGTTTTAATATGGTGTATCTTGCAGCACTATATTCATGTTTGGTATCATTTTAAATGTCTCAGCGTGATTGTAAAGTGGTCTTTATTTCACTGCATTATTTCACTTATATATATTGATTTGGTTTTTGACTTTGATAAGATCCTTGCCAGAGGCTTGGCTAAAGGATCTATTTTTTTTAGGACCAGGTGAGCGTTATGCAACAAGCCTATTTAAATATTAGTTAATCCTGCATCCTCTGACTATTTTCAGAGTGTCGACATATTGTCCGTGAGAAGAGACGCAAACCCGGGGCGTGGAACTCTGAGCGACGCTGGTCCCTAATAAACGTACAATTTAGAATATCGGACCCCAGAAAATATCAAAACTCAAAATTAAATCACAAATGATAAATGTGATCCGTTCATACAATTAGAAATACAATCTAAATTTTAGGATCATTTAAATTGGAGTCAGATTGAATTCGGAGATAAAAAACGAATTTAAATAAATTCTAATAAATAATAAAAATTTTTTCAGAAGCACTAAAAAAGGCTTACATGCATTAAACCTTCGACCATGCTGTTAGTTTCGTCCTTGGGCTAATAGATGGACTTCTACATTGAAGTAGTTTATTGTTGCAGTAGTTGGTCGATCGATCTCTCTCCCTCCCAATGTCCAAAAACCCACAGTTTACATACAGTTTCTTTTTCATAGGCATCATGAGGTATGATGTAACATCACCCCATTCCCGGCTCCAATAGGATCCTAGCTTTTTAATTAATGGCAGTATGTTTTTCTGTATTTACATATCTTAAAGGTCATATAGCATGTGCTTACAATATTGTGTTTGCACATGATCATGTTGTTTCCATACTTTCTAAGTGATTCTCCTTATGTATGCTATTTTGGCGAGGGTTGTTTTTATCTTGGTCAATACATACATTTTCTAAATGTATTGCATACGCTCTTGGTGCATGCACATGACCTGCTGTGCTTCAATTATAAGGCCCTGCATGTCTGTATGTCTCTTCTGCATCACTTGAATATATGTATTTCTATAAGTTTTACCAGGGTTCATTTTGCTGTGGGGACCCCAGATTAATAAAGGGACTAAGGCGAAAAGAAAATGAATGAATATATGAATGAATGAATGAATGAATGAATGAATGAATGAATGAATGAAATATTTAATTAATAAATAAAAACTGCCAGGAAATTTCTACCAATTACAATGCACCTTTCAGTGCTTGTGCTCCCATGGTGTCTGTTGTTACTCGGTCACCATTAGCTGTGCTTTTACACCTGACACAAAAATCACTGTGCTATAAACCCATTTACTTTACTTTTCATTTATAAATTGAGCCACGACAACCAGCACACACCTCCAATGAGCTTGCATAAAATATTTAGAATTTTTCTGCTGTATTAATTAATACTAAATGTGTGTAGTTGTTATTACTTGGAGTTACAATGAGGAATAAAGCAATTTGCTGTTGAACTCCATCACTGTATCAGTACATATATCCTTCACTGGGCTCACACGTATACGGTACTCTGTGGCCTGGCTGCTGGTTACTTCTTGTTAAACCATGATGGCACGGCATGCAGTAGAACAATCATAACAGACTGCATTATCAGATCAATCACCGCAGATTAGCCTCACGCAAAGGAGCTTAGAAAATTTAATTGATAAACAAATAAAATGCGAGTTGTTGAAAGATTGGGTAAAGATTAATGCATATTTTAAGACAATGAAAGTGTTTTTTGACCTTGTGTGCATATCAACCTGTTGTTGGACACTACTAAAACCAAACCATGACATGGGGGCACTTTAATTCTAGTAGATTCCTTTGGAATAGAACTTTAAAAATCAAGTGTGGATGCAATGTTATTGCCTGCCTGATGCAGACCGATGTCTGAAATATGGGTACACACCAATTCTTTTGGCCAACATGTGCTGCCATGACTTGCTGGTTCATTCAAGTAGTTCTTCCCTCCTTGGTTTCCAGAGATGGTCTTGTCAGGGCCAGTGCGGAAGAGCTAGTGTGGTGGCCCACATCTCCTTTATAAAACTGGACATGAGTTTTTAATGCACTCTCAGTCATCTGGTACGAGGGAGGACCTGAGGTCTATCATCACCTCTCGGACAGTGAAGAAAAGGAAGTGATCTCTAGTTGAGTTTTTGTCCTGTTTTCACTCAGCAATGCAATCGGGAGAGGGCACCCTGCCAGCAAACAGTTTCAAGGCTCCAAGTCAATCAACCCCACATTACGAAGGAGTTCCTCTCTCAGAGCATCTGTTGATGTGGAAATTTCTACAAAATGCCCCTTCTTGGGCAGAGGTATCTCAAACACTGTTTTTTACAGCATGTGGGACAAAGGAGGACCTGAGACCCATCATCACCTCTCAGACAGTTAAGAAAGGAAATGGTCCCTGGTTGAGTTTTTGTCCTGTCATTACTCTGTCATGCTATAGGAAGAGGGCAGTCTGCCAGCAAACTGTTCGGGGCACAAAGCCAAACTACTTTTGATTGCTCATTCAGAGTATCTGGTGGTTTTGACATTTCTACCAGATGCCCCTTTGGGTCTTGTGAACCATAGAAATAAACTTACATAATTAATTTTAATTCTTAATTGCACTGGCATGCTCTTGACAAGTGTGAAGAAAGGGTAGACTCTATTGTTAATGAAGGCACCACAAGCCTGGACAAAGGGGTCATTGAAAAGAAATAGTTTTCACTTAGCAACGGCTGTCGTATTTACTAATTGATGCACTTTCTTTGGTCTGAGGCACACAGTCTCAGTTCATCTGTGGTGGAAAAAGGGAATGTTCAAAGTTGAATGTTCAGCCTAATGATGCTCTGATGTATCCAGTGATTGGAACAATCTATACTCACTCAAAAGTGATATAGGGATTCTAACTCAAAAGTGAAAGTCACATATGAATCAAGACAAACCAATTATCAATGAGGGGTACTTAATTAACAGATTTTTACCATGTACAGTGTATAATTGTATTCTACTGTTTTGGGGTTTTATTTACGATGTTGAGCACATAAGTTTTAATTAGTTACTTCTTACAAATAGTAACTGATTTAGTAACTGAATTACATGATTATTAAAGTAACTACCACCAGGAAAAGTAACAATTTATTATGAGATGGAGACTAAATTTAATGAAAATCAAGCGTGGATGCAATGTTATTGCCTGCCTGATTCTGACCAATGTCTGAAACATGCGTGCACACCAATTCTTTTGGCCAACATGTGCTGCCATGACTTGCTGATTCATTCAAGTAACTGAATTACATCATTATTAAAGTAACTACCACCAGGAAAAGTAACAGTTGTATTTATTATGAGATGGACACTAAATTTAATGAATCAATTTACACTATTCTACACTCTAAAAAGCGTTGGTTGAGCAATTGAGTTAAGCATAATTGGTGCTTTGTTGGGTTATTTTTAACCCTTATTAGATTATTGGTTATTAACTCAACTAGTTGAGTTAAATATTTAGTGCTTTGTTGGGTTATTTTCAACTTTTTTGGTTATTTAATAACTCAAGTCGGGTTGAAAATTTGAATTTCAACAGTCAACTGATTTAACTGACACAAAACAGCTGTATTACTATGTGTGCGTAATGTTGTTTTTGCGTTATAATGTTCATTTAAGCAATAACGCATTTTTAAAAATTATTTATAATTATTATTATTTAAATTTTTTTTATCAAATTACTTCTCCGTGTTGTGTTTTATACCCGTTTTGCCATCCAAGACCGTCTTTTAGAAGTGTTTGGATGTGTTAAAAATGCATTGTACATTGTGGACACAGTGAAGCCTGCTGCAGCTGCTGGACAGTCTCTGCACACAGAACTCCATACTCTGCTCAATCAACAGGACTTTCTGCTTGCAGAGTTTATAACTGTCTGTGCTTTGTTTTTGTTTGTTTTTTTGTTTTTTTCTTTGTTTGTGATTCTTGGTTTATTTTAACAAAAGTGTCTGGAACTAAAATGTGATGGAAAAAAGCATTTTCCCAAATTTTTAAATATGTTATTAATTTACACAGTCATAATTAATATTAGAACTAGGAATAGTAATGGAATACCAATGGAAATACAATGAAAATACCAGAATGGAAAAAAATAACATTTAATCAAAATAACCCAAAATTATAAAATCATATAACCCAATTATTGCGACAAAATTT